TTATCTCTTGGTTACCACCGCAACCTTCCTGGTGTTACTGATGAGTGGTGAGTGACACGCCCGCTGCACACATGATGATTTTAAAAGTGATATTTATGGTCTTGGTCTTGACTTGGTCTCGATCCCTAAATGTCTCGGTCTTGTCTCAGTCTCATATCACTCTGGTCTCACATATGTCTTGGTCTCGGTTAGTGTGGTCCTCACTACAACATCAGTACTTAGTATACTTTCAAGATTCTGAAATATATAAATACCTGGATCAGGTTGTGTTTTAAGTTGTTTATTTCTTGGACTAAAAGCTCTATGGGGTGGCAGTAGCTCAGTCTGCAGGGACTTGTGCTGGGAACCGGAGGGTTGTCGGTTCAAGTCTGGAGATTGGTCTGGTAGCTGGAGAGGCGCCAATTCACTTCCTGAGCACTGTCGAGGTGCCTTTAAACAAGACACCTCTCAAGGCGTTTCATAACACATTATCACTCACCCCCCCCCCCCCTCCAGGATTATTAAAGTATTTCTGATTCTGATATAAATGGCGAATGTGAATAATAATGTGATTAATTCCAATAAACTATTGGAATCTAGTGATTCCAACAGTTTCTCGCTCATCTCCTGCTGCTTCTTTTTGTACCGGCAGAACAAACATGCAAAGTATTCTGCTCTTTGCATAATTTATTTACCTACCCCGCACACACACACACACACACACACACACACACACACACACACACACACACACACACACACACACACACACACACACACACACACACACACACACAATTATCAGTCTCTCACAGCATGAACATTTGGGATTTAGAATTACACCTTCTGCATACAACACTTAATGTGTGGTGAAATAATATATAAACAAGCATGTGATCCATACTCCACACACAGTTTCTGTTATTGCAAATGATGTACAGTTGATTACTGTGTCCTACAAATAAACTTAACATGATGTGATGAAATAGGCAATGTCGACATTAACTCAACCTGTGAAGCATGTGAGGGCAGTCAAAAAACTTCTAAAGGACAGATTAAAACAATATCAAGTAGTTGGCAGTTATGATGAAGTAATGAATGAGTGTTAACATCTTTACAGAAGAATTTATATTTGTTGACTAATACTAATACACTGAAATCTTAATAACGTCTTGGCACTTTATTTTAGAAAGTTAAAAACAGCTTCTAAATGTTTATGGAGAGCTTATAAAATAGGGCGAAAGTTAAGTTCATCAAAAATGATCTTCAAAATAGAGAAGGTCCCAAATTGCAAATTGATGTGCGGTACCTTCCACTCTTTAATCAAACATAGGCAAATTACTATTAACACTTTGTTTTAATTCTCCACTCATGAAGAAGAAAAGGCTGCAAGACAATATATTTTTATATATATATTTCTACTGTATATTCGGGTGTGGGTAAGTAAAAGCACGGGAACAACTTCTGCTGTGCGTCTCATACGTTTAATGTCCGTCTGTAACAGAGCATGACATATCCAGACTGAACAACAACAACAGTGACACCTTACTTGTCCTAAAGCAATATCACTCCTCAAACCGTAACCATGGGTAACCTTAAAGGCATAGTGCATCATATCAAACAGATACTCTTGTACAGTGCAAATTGTAAATATAAATGAAATTAGCATTAAATCAAATAATGTATATTATCTCAACCTAATCAAAATAAAGATCTATAAAATAATACTTCACAAAAATAAATCTCATCTCCATCTTACACTATCTTTGAAAGTCTTGACACTGGCTGCCTCTTTGTCTTCATATTGATTTTATTATTGTCTAAAGCACTTGGCCTCCCACCAGATTAACTTTTCAGAGTTGATTTTAGTTTATGAACCAGGACGACCCCTCAGGTCTTCTTGTTCTTCTATGGTTCTTCTTTTAGTTGTTCCACAGAGCAGAACAAAAACCTTTTGTGATTCTGCGTTTTGCTGCTCTGAGACTTTGGAACAGACTTCAGAGGATCAGAGAATATTGAGATTTTTAAAAACAATTTAAAAAACTCATTTATTCAGTCTGGCTTTTCTATATGACTTAATCATTTTAAGGCTTTTAATTTACTATATTTTAATCAATATTATTCATCTCTACTTTTAAATTTACATTTTAGTGTTTGATTTTAGGTTTTTAGTATTTATATTTATTAATCATTGTGCTGATTTTATTTCTTATTGCTGTTATATTTTACAAACTACCTTTTGTCAGTCATTTTTCCGCTCCTTTGTAAAGGACTTTGAACTGCAATTAGATTTGTACCACAGGTGATATATACAGTGTATATATATACTCATATATATATATATATATAGATGCATATGGTTTGATAGATTACACAATGTTGAACTCAGGATTTTCTCTGATGTTTATTTTGAATACATGCAGATTTTATCAGATATGAACCCATCACAACAGGAATACACTTGAAAGGTTCTCATAGATGCATTATGTAAGAACCAATCGTCAAACAATTATAGCTTCACTTAAAGTCTGTCATACATTTAAACACATTCATCATCCATCCAAGAAAGGTAGTTGATGGATACGTTTAAAAATGTATTGTTTAATTCGAATTTCAAGTTTTTAGATGCAAATAAAGGTTTTCACAAGTTCCAGTTTTTAAAGTAAGAATCATAAACTCAAAAGAAGAGCACATTATAAAACATGCCCAAAATAAGACTCATTTTAAAACAGGTTAAAATTGTATTGTGATAATAAATGCTGCAGATACAAAGTAATATAATATAAGATAATACCAGTCACCAAAACATCACTCATGATCATCTCTCATTAAACACCACTCAAAGACAAATAATCTAATCTCATGTCCTCAATCTTCAAACGATTAACATCAAAACTAAAACACCACTGAGTATTCTAAATCCCTAAATAAAACCACAAGTGAAATATTCACTCCATTACACATGTTGGGAGTGCTTTACATCTTTCCCCGACCAAAAATAATTCACAACCTACAAAGAAGCATAAATGTGACCAAAAGCTGAATCAATTCAGAAACATGCAGTTTATATATTCAGTTTGAGACAATGATTGTTGGATTTCAATAATGGCTTTCTTTACCTAAATGGTATTCAACAGCCATACAGCTGCTAGCTGTGTAAGTATCCAGTGTCATGTGTGTCTATGTATCAGTTTAGAGATCAGAAATTCAAATCCAGAAGCGATCCAGATCCAGTGATCTTTGAGATATGGCTTTATAACTAATATATATTTTCCTTAATGTTAAAAAAAAGTATCCAATTTTTTCTGTATCAAATTTTGAATGGGTTTTCTGTGTGAGTCGATAGAAGCGTAACACAGTGAATTAAATGGGCCAATGATACTGTTTCATATTGACTGCAGGCCCCGTAATTGTACAGAGTGGTATCATATATTATGATTTATCTTTGTCCTCAGAATAAAAACATGTTGTGTGTTGTTGGAACTGATTTTTAAACAATCAATTTAAAAGAATGATACAGCATGTATATGATAAAAGCGAGAAAAACATGAGTGCTAGGTCTGAATGCAAATATTATTCAGTGTTATTTATGTTGTTTGGTAAGTTCCTTGGTGTCAACTTCAGGAGGATCGCTCTAATTACCCTCAGGTCCAACCAGATTTGGCTTCTTCTCTAGCCTGCATGTTAATAAGGACACAAAAGTACATCTGTTTTAAAGAAAGCAGTGCAGAGTAAACCTAGTGAGAGATAAACTGAGGCAGAAATGATTCTATTTGACAAACGATCTCTCATTCAATTTATTTTAAAGCAAAACAATGCACTCATCATGCAGATCCATCATCTCACTGGTGAGAACTTTCAGTTTTTTTAAATCTCAAGTAATAAAATACATTATTTCAAAGTTTTTGTCCGTTGGTAGGAAAATACAAAAGTTTGAAGACACCAATGCTAATTTGGCATCAAAAAAGGATCAAAATCATATAAATGCAAAAGAAGAATCCTGAAGTTTTGTTTCACTATGCAATCATTCCCTCCCTGCTCATTGTTCCATTCTAATGCTCATATATTAAAACAGCCTTTCAATGTAATAAAACCACTAACTGCATATATTAATATGTCACATACACACCCATTCAGAAAAGCCAATTTTTACAGCAGAAATAAACATGTTTACAGCTCGATTAAAAAAACTAAATTGGTCTGATTATCTCATGTCTCAATCAGCACACATTGTATGAAGAGGGATTTTTTTTTTAACATGTCCATTTTTCTTTTCATGAAGGATACGCGTTATTCACAATAAGACCCGTAGCTTATAGGCCTAGGCTAAAAAAACTAAAAATGTTATCAAAATGTCATATCAGTCGATATAATTATCACAATAATTATCAATCATTATTACTTTCAAATTTTCAAATTTAAAAGCTGATTTTTGCTCCTGAGTGAAAGTTTGAAGAAACCAGAGGGTTGGTTAATCTTTTGGTTTCACTCCCATGCTGGTGTTGCTTACCTCTCTTAACCTGAGGGCCCCAAACCAGAGTCCTGCACGGTTCCAATACAGGTCAGTAAAATTGTTTCACTACAGAAACCTGACTGACTGTCTAGACTTGCTGTCTAACCTGGATGCAAACCAGGACAAAGGACCAATAACATGTTGGAGTGTTGCCCAGCTTGGCAGTATTTTGTTAAGTTAAAGTATCAAATCTATTAGAGTAGAGCTTCACCAGCACAGGTAAGCATACGTTAACCTGAAAGGAAGACCGAAGGCTGAGGATGCTAGCACAGCTAATGTTTTCACACTCAGCAGATTGTAGATCACATGTTCAACCATATTAAATAAACTGTACTCAATGTGGACTGTTTTCTATTTACTTTAGCCAAGTCAACTGGTTTTATGTTCAATCAACAGCAAGTTAGTTGATATGTATTGTATCCTTTAACATCTTAAGATTCAACTATTATCTAAGGATTGGAAAATCATTGTACCACTGTTTAAAGTGCTTTTTGGCAGCCTCCACACTCTCGTCATCAATCTCCTTACAGAAGACCCTGATCAGCTGCTCAGAAAAGATCAATGTGCGAATCCTGGATTCCTGTAAAGAATGACAGCAGCTTTACTTTGAGAGTTATGGAGACATAAACCTCCTTACAAATAACAGACAGAAGAACTATTGAATGATTGTGATAAAAAAATTGTTTTAATCAATAGTTAGTTCTGACATTTTTCCTGTTCTCGTCTTTCATGCCGTAGTCCTTGTTAATGACCTAAAAAGAAGGTCGAGAGTAAAATGTGTGCCATAACAAATTCTGCAACATCTTACAAATCAAAGAATCAGCAAAACTGAAGATTTTACAAAAAAAGGTCAGATGAAAGAAAGTAAAAGAAAACTCACCAGGATTTCAAAGTCCTCTGGTTTCAGGTTGTTTTCTTCCTCGTCAGGGAGGGGTTGAGCCAATCCTTCTTTCCAGCCAGAAATCTGGCTCTTGACAAGGAATCAGAAAAAAATTACAACAGTGGAAAAGGATATAGATTCAAGATTTTTTGCATTTTAAGTTGACAATGTAAGAAACTTGGAATTCATTTCTTATTCACTCAAAAAACTGCACCAACTTAGTGTAAATGCGTTTGACTGTAGGGCTGCATGGTATGATCTAAGCATTATTTTGCTATGTGTACAAGTGCCATGGTAATATCCCAGGACGTGTGTTAGTCTATGAGCACATAAAGTGTAGAGGGAGAGAGAGTGAAGGGATCACATGCAGTGTATGAAGATGAACTGTTCTTTGCTTAGAAGTTAATGTCACAGGGCTCTTGATGCAAATTAAATGTAGCTTTGAATGTATAAGGGGTTCTTATTTGTAAAAGAAAATAAACTTGAAGACCCAGATAATAATAAAAATTGTAATAGTATGAACATAAAAAGAAAACGCAGTTTCCCCAATATCATGCAGCATTAGTTGACAGAGGGATTTTGTATTATAAGACATTTCAAGCTGCTATCCAATTCACATTACATTTCAATAAGAGAACTGTTCAATAGTGCTGCTGTTCATGTTAAATGTAATATTACGGGCAAGATAAAATGCTGGAGACAGTAAATAATGTGATGTGTACTTATTCTATTAACTGAAAATGAGCACATTATCCAGCTTTGTGATAACAGTGCATTAGATCATGTGTAATAAATGTAATGAAACACAAGAACACACAGACTTACTTTCCAATCCTTGATGGTCTCCTCTGGCTTTCTCTCACCAACAAACTTGTAGATCTCTCCAGAGACAATTTTTTGCAGAATCTTTCTTGCCTCTAAGAGTAAGAGAGTGACAAGCAAACGATAAACAATAATAATTCAGTGTTATTCATGTTGTTTGGTAAGTTCCTTGGTGTCAACTGCAGGAAGATCGCTCTAATTACCCTCAGATCCATCCAGATATGGATTCTTCTCCAGCCTGCATGTTAATAAGGACACACAAGTACATCTGTTTTAAAGAAAGCAGTGCAGAGTAAACCTAGTGAGAGATAAATTGAGGCAGAAATGATTCTATTTAACAAACGATCTCTCATTCAAGTTATTTTAAAGCAAAACAATGCACTCATCATGCAGATCCATCATCTCACTGGTGAGAACTTTCAGTTTTTTTAAATCTTAAGTAAAAAAAAATATTTTCAAAGTTTTTGTCTTTTGGTACTAAAATACAAAAGTTTGAAGACTCCAACATTAATTTGGCATCAAAAAAGGGATCAAAATCATATAAAAGCAAAGAAAAGGCAACAGTGTCCTGAAGTTCAATGCAATCATTCCCTCCCTGCTCATTGCTCCATTCTAATGCTCATATATTAAAACAGCCTTTCAATGTCATAAAACCACAAACTGCATATATTAATATGGACAATGAGTTTTGGTCTGTTGTATAAAGAGCAAAGACAAAATACCGGCCAACATTTTGTGCTGGTGACTTCTTTTGGAGCCAAGACATGTGCAAACTGAAGCACAACAAAACAAAAAATGATCCCTCAGGTCAGAAAGAATCCCAGTCTCGATTCTCACATAGTTGCGATGTCATGTCTGCGTGATGCCGATTCTCTTGCTCCTTTTTCCTTCACAAACTGCACTTACGCTGCACTCGCGTCAGTATTTCCCACACAGACAATACTCGGGCTGCCCAGGTAAAAAAATGAAAATTTTCAAAATCCAAAACAACTGTTGACTGTTTTCTATTTACTTTAGCCAAGTCAACTGGTCTGAATTTATATTTGATGTTTTATGTTCAATCAACAGCAAATTAGTTGATATGTATTGTATCCTTTAACATCTTAAGATTCAACTATTATCAAAGGATTAGAAAATCATAGTACCACTGTTTAAAGTGCTTTTTGGCAGCCTCCACACTCTTGTCATCAATCTTGTTACAGAAGACCCTGATCAGCTGCTCAGAAAAGCACGTTGTGCGAATCCTGGATCCCTGTAAAGAAGGACAGCAGCTTTACTTTGAGAGTTTTGGTGACATAAGCTGCCTTACAAATAATTTAACCCAATAAACAGAAGAAATATTGCGATAAAAAAATGTTTTAATCAATATTTAGTTCTTACCTTTTCTTCGGGCATTGGCTTTGCCACGTCAAGCTCAGATTTGCTGTAGAAATGAACATGTTGGATAGGGTCCTTGTCGTCCATGCCATAGTCCATTTCAATGACCTAAAATGAAGGTTGAGAGTAAAAGTATGTGTGTAATAACAGATTTTGCAACATCTTACAAATCAAAAAATCCGCAAAACTGAAGAATTTACAAAAAGGTGAAATGAAAGAAAGTCAAAAAACTGACCAGGATTTCAAAGTCCTCTGGTTTCAGGTTGTTTTCTTCCTCGTCAGGGAGGGGTTGAGCCAATAATTTTTCCAGCCAGTAATCCGGCTCTTGACAAGGAATCAGAAAAAAATTACAACAGTGGAAAAAGATATAGATTCAAGTTTTTTTGCATTTAAAGTTGACAATGTAAGAAACTTGGAATTCAATTCACATTCACTCAAAAAACTGCACCGACTTAGTGTAGATATTTTTGACTGTAGGGCTGCATGGTATGATTTAAGCATCATTTTTGCGTATGTGTACAAGTGCTATGATAACATTACAGAATATATAATATCAATCATATGTCCTGAAATGTATCATTTCATGCATTTTTTGTTGTTTCTGCTTTTGAAAAAACAAAAAGCCTTCAGTTTCTTCTTTCCATGACTGATCTACAATATCAGTCTGTCTGATCCTCTTCCTGATCACAAAGAGAAGTGACTTCTGTGCAGGCAGAGTCTATGTGCACATAAGATGTAGAGTTGAAGGGATCACATGCAGTGTGTGACGATGAACTGTTCTTTACTGTCACAGGGCTCTTGATGCAAATTAAAAGTCACTTTGAACATATAAGGGGTTTTTATTTGAAAAAGAAAATAGAATTGAAGGCCCAAATGATAATACAAATTATAATTGTATGAACCTCAAAGGTTATTGCAGTTTCCTCAATATCATGCAGCATTAGTTGACAGAGGGATTTTGTATTGTAAGACATTTCAAGCTGCTATCCATTTCAAAAAGAGAACTGTTCAATAGTGTTGCTGTTCATGTTAAATGTAATAACAACACGGGCAAGATAAAATGCTGGAGACAGTAAATAATGTGATGTGTACTTATTCTATTAACTGAAAATGAGCACATTATCCAGCTTTGTGATAACAGTGCATTAGATCATGTGTTATAAATGTAATGAAACACAAGAACACAGACTTACTTTCCAATCCTCGATGGGGTCCTTTGGCTTTCTCTCACAACAAACTTGTAGCTCTTTCGAGAGATGATGTTTTGCAGAATCTCTCTTGCCTTTTTTAGCTCTGAGCAGGAAGACTTCAGTATTTCCTCAAACACGTTGTCTAAAAGAGTAACAGAGTAACAAGCAAACAAATGATAATAACACACACAAAAATTAGTGAATTTAATTTAAACACACTCAATAAATTGTAAGACATGGCATGTTAATTTATAAGTCATCACAACTAAATTAACAGGATGTGGTTTATTTATCTTTAACAAATGCACGATAAAAAAAATGGATAAAGTAGCATAACTGTAAATGACCTAGCAACAGAGCCATGTCTTGATACTCCTGTAGTCTGAATTGGCTTCAATGTTGAACATGAGCTAACAGCACACATTTAAATCTACACACCTGTGAGCTTTGTGTAGGCCTCCATGTCCTCATTGGCTGTAGAGAGAGTGAACATCCTCCCTCCTGATCCTTCAATCTGAATGTGACCGTCTGCTTTCAAAAAAGCCTCTGCAATCCTGTATGTTCATATCAAATATATTATTACTGATGAGATAGTGAATCATGATGCAGATTGAATAATGGAAATCAGAAGGAGACCAATCTTATATTTGGAGTAATAACTTCTGAAGGTAGACACTTACATTTCTTGTATGATGTGGCTTACTCTATGCTGACAGGCTCTTTTGTGGAGATGGTGTCTTGTATAGAACAAGTGGTACATATGGTCTTCCTCCTGTTGAGGTTAGGACTGCAGTTTAGTCATAAATAACAACATTATCAGTTTGCTTTCAATTATCTGTTTACAAGCTCAAGTGTGTCAGCACCTTGTCTCTGGTGCAGATAGTTTTCCTGCCATCAACCTCACACACTCTGGCAAACTGCAGGAAGCGACGAAAGTCAAAGTTGTTCTTGATCCCCAGGTAGGAAGAGTCCCTGAGTAGAGGCAGATTGAGGCAAGGTGAAGAAAATAGGTGTATAGAGGGAAACTGAATTTACTGGAGAGTTTTGTAGCCTATAATTTAAAATAATCAGGAGAATAATGCATTGTTCAAGGTAAAAAAAAAAAGAAGTGCTGTAGTGGTCTTCATCACAAAATGAATTGCTCTACAGCACTTCATTAAAACCTGACCTGGCCAAGTAGTCAAACTTGTCCACATCAACGCCGTTTTTTTTGTTGGACACAATTTCATAGAGGAAGGAATTTTCTTTTGGGCGCCCTTTGTACGGCCACTGCAGGGATGACGACACAAAGCGAATCAGGACCAGTTTTATTGACACGTATGTTGTTGTCAATGAATTTACACTGCATAGAAAAAATATGTAGGACCATTCCACAAAACAGAGATAAAGCTAAAATATGAACACAATAAACTGTGTACAAGCAAAAGCATGACAAAATAAACAGCAGGTTCAATTTCAAATGGAGTTCTAGGCAGATGAAAAACTTTTTTTTTAACGATTAAAAAAAAGGACTCTTCTTGTCCGCCTTTATACTGAGGAGATGTTACAAAATAGTGACATTAGTGACATTGCTGTTGAGGACACAGACCTATTTATGCACAGATGGTGTGAACTTGCCTTTTCTTTCTTTTTTTTTAACTTTCTTTATTGCTTTTACATATTAACAACATTTCCATTTAGTAATGTCCGTACAGAATGTGTATTCTTTTTCCGAACTTGCCTTTTCTACAGCAATCATCTCCTGAATGTTTTTCACATCTTCAGGGTTCAGTTTGTATTTCTTCTTCATCTCTTTTTCAAGCGTCCTCTGTTCCTGTAATATTTACAGTTAGGGATAGAGAGATTAATTGTGAAATCGTGATAAATTGATTCAAAGGTGTCAAGATTCACATCGGTACTCTGAAAAATGAATCGCAATAATATCGTGAGCGTCAGCAGCTGTAGAGCAAGATTTTCAAATTGAGGACGCACCATCCTCTTTTAAATCAGAGGTGTGAAGCATTTTAGCTTCCCCAAGACAGAAAATTAAAGATGTGAGAAGATAACAGACAAGACAAAAACTGTGTGTAAATATTGCAAGAAGACAGGGAACTACACAAATAGCACAACCAACATTTGCAGAGTAGATCTCAAAACGTGTGTATGTAAGAAACACTTTAAAAGTCAGAGTTCCTAAAGTTCCTCAGAATTTGACGAGTGACTTAAAGTCAGCCAATTTTCTGTTGACATATACTGTATACAACATCCTAACAGGCTTTATCAGGGTTATTAAACTAGCTGAACTTAACCCAGATATAATACGAAGCACAAGAGTTTTTTGGAAGGTGATACTGCAACTCCGTTTTCTCTCTAAGGGTTTTTTCACACCTGGGTAGTTTGGAAAAGTTGTTCTGAAACCATAGCCCGGTTTGTTCATACATATGTGAACACAGCAATCACACTCTTTTAGCTCAACTTTTTAAATCTATTTTGAATTTTTTATTGAATTGTCCACTATGTGCTCTTTTTTGGCTATCCTTGCTCTTTGCTGCCTGTTGTGGGATGAATAAAGTTTTATCTTCTTTTATCTTAAATTCATACAGTATCTTATCTGACTTATGAAAAACATAATGAGGTGAACTTGCCTCCTTGTCTCCAGCAATCATCTCCTGAATGATTTTCACATCTTCAGGGTTCATTTTGTATTTCTCCATCACTTGTTCAAGCTCACTCTGTTCCTGTAATATTTACAGTTAGGGATGTAAAGATTAATTGTGAAATCGTGATAAATTGATTCAAAGGTGTCAAGATTCACATCAGTACTCTGAAAAATGAATCGCAATAATATCGTGAGCGTCAGCAGCTGTAGAGCAAGATTTTCAAATTGAGGACGCACCATCCTCTTTTAAATCAGAGGTGTGGAAGCATTTTAGCTTCCCCAAGACAGAAAATGAAAGATGTGAGAAGATAACAGACGAGACAAAAACTGTGTGTAAATATTGCAAGAAGACAGGGAACTACACAAATAGCACAACCAACATTTGCAGAGTAGATCTCAAAACGTGTGTATGTAAGAAACACTTTAAATGTCAGCGTTCCTAAAGTTCCTCAGAATTTGGCGAGTGACTTAATGTCAGCCAATTTTCTGTTGACATATACTGTATACAACATCCTAACAGGCTTTATCAGGGTTATTAAACTAGCTGAACTTAACCCAGATATAATACTAAGCATGAGATGCATTGTCTTCTCTTATCTTATATTCATACAGTATCTTATCCGACTTCTGGAAAACATAATGAGGTGAACTTGCCTCCTGCTCTTTAGATTCCTGTAGTCTTCTGTCTACTTCCATGTCTTCTTCAGGGATCGCTGGTTTAAGATACTTCTGTTTCAGCATGTGGTCTAGCATGTCACAAGAGCCCTTTTCATGCTGCAAGACACACAGACTCATAAATGTGTCAACACAAGATTTAAAACATAAATATAATAATCCCACATACTTTAATTTCCCCCACATTTGAAGAGTATATTTCAAAACTTGTGTATATTAAAAAAAAAGTTAAATGTCAGAGTTCCTAAAGTTCCTCAGAATTTGACGAGCCACTTAATGTCAGCCAATTTTCTGTGGACATATACTGTATACAACATCCTAACAGTCTTTATCTGGGTTATTTTGCTAGCTGAACCCAACCCAGAGTCAAACTGTTAAGCACAAAAGTTTTTGCCTGAGAAGGTGATACTGCAGCTCAGTTTTCTCTCTAATAGTAAGGGAATATTGCAAAAACATGGGAATAAATTCCTCACCAAGAAATTTCTTCACAAGTGTGTTCATAAAGGTGTCTTATAACATATCCTTGGTGGAAACATGGCCACACCCACTTTTATTGTACATTTAAAGTAGCTAAATATGTTGATCTCTACGGAAGAAGATTAGGGCCACTGAAAAAATAAAATTGGTTCTGATTTTTTTTTTTTTAATTCTGACTTTAAACTCAGAATTCTGAGAAAAAGGTCAGAATTCCCCCCAAAAAAACAGAACCAACATTCTTTTTTTCAGTGGCCCTAATCCTCTTCCGTAGATTTCAATATCTCGAATACTAGTTTAAAAAAATACTGCACCAATTTTCAAATGTCTGAGGGGTCCAGGTCGAAGTCTTCTCCAGACTCTATACTGTTCTTAAAGTAGTGATTGGGACCCCTGGTGGCTCATGAGACACTAAGAGGTGGTTTGCGAGATGCCTTCCATTACCAAATAAAAAAGTTGAACGATATAAAATTGCATATTTTACCCATTATTGTGAAAAAAACATACAAATGTATTTGAATTTTAAAAGCAATTATAGTGGCAAAGTAAGATTTTTGCTGAAATGAAAGAGATGGTTAAAAACTCTTTAAATGTAAGTTTTCACACAAGTGAAACAATGCAGGTGTCTGTTGCTCCCTACGAATGAAAATACACACATACTTCACCTGAGCGTCTGTTTATTTAATGTTGTATATCCAAATTTTCAAATTTTAACCAATAAGGTTCCAGGTACATGTACCCCAACTTTGAGTAGCTCTCAAGGATTTTCCTACTGGAGTTGGATTTAAATATTTTTATATGTGTTATAAGACACCTTTATGAACACATTTGTGAATACATTTCTTGGTAAGGAATTTATATATATATATATATATATATATATATATATATAATATAAGGGTTTTTTCACACCTGGATTGTTTGGAAAAGTTGTTCTGAAACAAAGGGGCGTTTCCCCTTTAGCCCGGTTTGTTTGGATGTGAACACAGCAATCGCACTTTTTTGATTATTGAATGGTGCACTGTGTGCTCTTTTTTGGCTATTCTTGCTCTTTTGCTGCTTATTGTGGGATGAATAAAGGTTATCTTCTCTTATCTTATATTCATACAGTATCTTATCTGACTTCTGATTAACATTTTTTGGGATATTGAGTGACAAAGAGACATAAACAGATCTAGAAATCCCTTCTGCTTTTAAAAGAGGTCCCTTCCGTAAAGAATTACCTCTCATTAACCATGAATTCAATTAGGATTTTTGTTTGGTGTATCTAAATCTCTGAATCACCAGGATTAATGTTCATAAAAAAAAACATGAAATCAAATCTCATAAAGCTTCTGAAAAGCGGCAACATGTCGGATGAAAAGTTGACATATTATTACCAAAGAGAACAGGGTATGGGTCATTTAGCAACACAAGCTACAAAGTTCATTGTTATTGCAGAAATAGTTAAACATTCTTGGAAATGTGCATAATCCCATTACACCTGAGAAAGCAAACAAAAAAGAACATCCTGGATTTTGTTTCAAAAGAACAAAGCCAGGGGCGCTGGTGGCGCAATGGTTAGTGTGCGCGCTCCATGTATGTCCTCCAAGCGGGTGGTCCAGGATTGAATCCCACCTGTGGCTCCTTTCCCACATGTCATTCCCCACTCTCTATCCCTGAATACCATCTCTGTCCACTATCCCATCTCTCAATCAAAAGCCCAAAAATAAACCTTAAAAAAAAAAAAAAAAGAACTAAGCCAGTAAAATTGTATATGTGCTTCAGTTTTGCAGTTGCTCTGTATTTAATTTTTCACATTACAACAAAAATATTAACTTCTGATCTTCCATTTCTCCAATTTCTCCAATTTCTCCATTTCTCTGAATTTCCCATTTTTTCTCATTTCTTCTTTCTTTTTTTCCAGTGCTTTGGGAGGAACATTCCATCATACAGATGGGAAAAGGGTCCATGACCTTGAAATGGATAGATAAAGACAGGCGTAATCCACTGATAGTGTACAGATTATACAGTCAGTATGTCTTAATAAATCTGTTTGAGTTGAGGATGGATTACTCCTGAATCTAAACTTGAGAATATTGCTTACAAAAAAAGGTTGTTATGTGTAAGTATTTTTAAAGATTCAGACCCTCCAGTTCTTATCAGAGTCCCTACAGACTGAGCTACCACCACTACCTCACCCCACCCTCGTATTTTTTATTTATTAATGCAGAAGCCCTTGCTTTTTTGTAAGATGGAAGGGTTATTTCTGGATCATTTCACTTTCATTTTACTCTTAACATTCCAAATAATTACAATTAATACACCAGTCATGTAATATTGAAAAGGGATGCATTACTCACCCAGGTCATGACAGAGGCCAGCAATCTGAACACAAAGGACGTCTCTGTCATCGATTTTGAGTTCCGGCTGCCTTGACCTGAGAGCCTCAGCAAGTTTTCCTGCTAAGTATCCCACCCTTTTTAGACCACAGAAAACATTTTTTTAAATTATAACGCAGTTATCACAATTTATTATATATATTTTTATTCATATTTTTTATTAGATCCATACTAAGACAGGCACTGTTTTCTGCCTTTATTGGTTTTACAAGGTGCTTATGTGAAAACCATGAGTCTTCTCCTTATTTGGACTGAGGTCACCTGTGGGCTGAAATCTGAAAACTTGCTGACTTACCCGATCGAGTGTTCAAAGCGGTTGTGAGACGCTCCAGGGTAAACAAAGTAGACACCTCCAAGCTGCTTTATGAATCGAAGTCTCTGGAACTGAGGTGTGTCAATGATCTTGATGAGGAGTGGGTGTAACTCTATGCTACCATGGATGGGATCATTAAACACCTGGCAGAAAACAAACAAACAAAAGCTAAGAACAATGAAATGCATAAAACAATACACCATGAAGACCAGCTCAAGTTTGTCTGAGGGCTCTGGGAAGTATTGCATAAGCATGAAATGAGCCCAAGAATAAAGCTGATGCTACAAAGAATGTTTTTTTGACTTTACCACTGTTTGGGATATTAAACATCTAGTAGAACAAAGAGAACAAAACATTGGACACTGAAAATGTCCTTTCAATACAAAGCGTGTCTTCCTATTCCTTTTTTTTTTTTAGGATTAAAGGAAAGGAGAACAAAGAGGGTTGGTTTGGATAGTAAAGGTGCACAAAGCTAGCTGTCCTCACCACTGGTGGGGATAATAAGCATCTAGAGAACAAAGCCCTCCCAGTTAATTAGATTTTTAATTTAGACTGATAATGGATAATACAAGGACACAGGTTTAACTTTGTGGAGGTGTGTTTGTGTGCGGTTTATTCAACAAGTCGTCATTGTTTGTTCTGTTTATTCTCTCTTATCTCTCCAGCCACAAAAATGTGGTGTGATGTGTGGTAAGACGTGAAGTATTTTACCTTGGTGATGATCGGTCTGTAGAATAAAAAAAAAAGCATTAACAGTATGAAGAAGTGCTGAAACTTCCAACTTAAAATGATTTCTTTATAAAGTTGGGATATTGTAAACTGGTTTAACAAAGACAGAGGTACTCACTGTTCTGCCATTTTGCCCGACTAGATAAAAGGGAAAGAAGTCAGTCATTTATTAAGTAGTCTAACCTCAGTTTTACACAAGCTAAAAGGCAAAATTGGTAAATTAAACCATCAGTTTAAAATAACGATACAACTTACCAAAAGCCAACCATGAATTTAATCGACTATAACTAGAAAACCAACCTCCAAATTTTCCTCCAATTGTCCAAGTCCTTCTTTTTGTACCAACTTGTTTCCTCAGCTCCCTGTAACTTTGAAAAATCTATCTATATAGTTTTTAATATTTTGAAGCTGTAAGATGTTGCATTTACATCAAGTTAATGTTTCTGATGCTGATCTGACAAGTGGTAAATGTCATTTAAATTTAAAGGCTTTTTTTTACGACGCTCAGGGTTTTAAAACATCTGACATTTATATCTCCACCACACCCATGTTATTGGTCTTCACCCTCATGATCCTCTTCTTTTATTGATATACCAAACATTTCAGAAAACAAAACTGAAAATGCATCAGAATTTCTTAAGTCAAATTAACAAATCTAAACGTATAAAGAAGTGAAGAAATGACAGGATGTTAGAAATAAATCAGTATTAGAAGTTACTTCTGAAGAAAAATTCAGAGGTAGCGTGAATGTTGCATGTTTAACCTGCTCTTTAGACTAACTTTAAAACCAGAGATTTATAGTGTACTCCATTTGAGGACTGCAAATATATCAAATGGCCACAAGATGGCACTCAACTCTCTATGGTAAAGTGTGCCCTGACCATTTGATGAAATAAATGCTCTGCTGGAGAAAGTTTTAACAGGTACTGATCTTTTTTGTGTTGCTTTTGTCATAACTTTCAGAAAGGAAACACAAGAAACCCTCAGACTGTAAAAGATTTTCTCATTCTATGATGACAAAAATGTTCAGCCTCATGATGTATCCAGAAGCATGTAAAGGAGGTGAACATCTGTCTGTCATCATTCTATCCAAAAATAAAAGATGAGACTATAATATGTATATATTGACCTCCAGTAACATCCAGAAATGAGCACATTGCAGATGTATGTCTATTAGTGCCAGTAGCTCAGTCTGTAGGGGCTTGGGTTGGGGGGTTGTTCAAGTCCCAGTGTGACCAAATATGGAAGTTGGTCTGGTAGCAGAGGTGCCAGATCACCTCCAAGCACTGCCAAGGTGCCCTTGAGCAAGGCACCAAACCCTCTCCCCACCATCAGCTCAGGAGTGCCCGCTGTGGGCAGCTCCGTCACTCTGACATTTCTCCATTAGTGCTTGTCCATAGGATCCTGTTTGTGCATGTGTGTGTTGCATGGTTAACAGAGTGTAAAAACAGAAATTTCCCCTTGCAGGGATCAATAAAGTTAATCTTAATCTACTTTTTCTTGTGAGATTACTTCTGATTGCAGACATAGAAAGTTGTTCAGGATGATATGACTTTATTCCCAAGTCAGGTATCTTTATAGGGCTTATAAATATCAATTTTTATCATCTAATTTCTGCCGAGGTTTAAGTTTTCTTTTAAACTGAAAGAAGGATGTCAAACTGATTCTCCGTGCAGCAACACAGATCAAACTTAAATGACAAATTGTAATCTCATGTTTGTATAACTACTGATTTTTTTAAAAGTCAATGATGTACTAAAACTGTAATATCTGGTATTTTTTTAGGCTACTGATTTTGCCATATTCACAAATTCACAAATCAGTACAAAACCACAAAAAAACACAAATCAACATAAAGCAAATGAACATAACGTAAAGACAAAGGAACGCAAACTCTGAGTTCACATGTTTGTACACAGGATCTGATGCTGTTTCAAAAGTTGATCCTCTTTGTAGATGTTGTGAATGATTTTAGCTGATGCCAAATAGGAATATTACAGATCTTGATAAATAATGTCAAACCAATCAGAATAATTTCAAGTAAGTTCCTAATTTTTGTTTTTAAAACTATCATTAATACATGTGTTGTATTGGAAATAATTCATAATATATCAACAAAATAAGAATGAAGTAAGGTGAAAGATCCATTTTACACTCACATGGAGGTTTTTGTTGTTCTCTATAGCAGGTCAGGCTTGGTTTGGATGGAAGATGAAGTAACAGACCTGAGCGCAGGCTTTTATAAAGTTGTGGTTGTGGCTTAAACAGGTGTGGCAAAGAAGTCAGATATCGGGATGCAGATTGGATGGTGTAACCCATTGGTGTTGATCTAGACCAGGAAAGGGCAACTTTGGTCACAGCAAGGGCCACATATATTTAATTCTCACTGTCAGAGGGCCAAATTGTAGGATATTCTTCGGTGGACTTATAATTCAACCAAAGGAAGGAATACATAGCTTTTATCAGCCTCTATGATACCAACATTCATATTTTAACCTCCAGTACAATTGTTAATCCTTAATTTAATATGCTTACTTCAAAATTAAGTTTCTTTTCCAATGCAATGAACAGAGTATTTACTGGTTATTTTAGGATATTTTTCTTTCTTTTTTTCAAATGTACACACTAGTGTTGTAGTAATCGAAATCAAGACCGGTCTCGAGACCACTGTTTGAAGGTCTCGTCTTGAAAGTATTTTTACTCTGTCTTGTCTCTGTCTCAGACTGGGCGGACTCCTGATTTTAGATTAAGACCAGTCAAGACCACCTCCGATGCTCCTTTCTAAAAGAACAAATGACTTCAATTCATTTGTAGTTTGATTTTTATCTCTTGGTTACCACCGCAACCTTCCTGGTGTTACTGATGAGTGGTGAGTGACACGCCCGCTGCACACATGATGATTTTAAAAGTGATATTTATGGTCTTGGTCTTGACTTGGTCTCGATCCCTAAATGTCTCGGTCTTGTCTCAGTCTCATATCACTCTGGTCTCACATATGTCTTGGTCTCGGTTAGTGTGGTCCTCACTACAACATCAGTACTTAGTATACTTTCATATAAGAGTTTTACAAAAACGCTAACAGTCAATTATATCTCAACTGCATGTGGCCCACCCCTGAATTCTAGATTATAATTTGAATGTAGCCTCATTCTAGGAATCAAAATAAAGGCGCTTTATAGTATTTTGGCGTTGACACTTGCACAAACAAAATGAAAACAAATTCAAGGGTATGAAAGGATTTCTCCATCATAACGTCCCTGCCCTTCCCCAACCGCCTGAGCCCCAGTAAACAGCCTAAAATCCCAGTTAAGTCTAGCTGGTTTTGTTCACTCAACTATACTTTCATCCACACGTGAGGAACCAGAGAGAACAGCCTCTTGGCCTGCAAGACTCTTTCCCTGGATTGCATTAGTAATTCTTGCAGATACTTGGAATACTTTCCCTTTAGTATAAAGCGTTTGGTGTGTGAGTCCATGCTGTGTAGGGAAAAAGTCGATGAGATTGATAGAAGGCCCACACACAACCTAAATGCTTAAAGCTGCAGCTTCCTGAGCTTCTCGTGAAGGACAGCATTATCATACAGCTTACTGTTCAGGACTCAACTTTCAAACTAAAAATCAACCTTTAGCATTTAATATGTCACAAAAAGGTCAAATAAAGAAAGAGTTATTCAAACTTACTGTCCACATACTCCCCATGGGACTGATAGGATTCATTCCCAATGTAAGCAGCATCTTGACCTCAGCAGTGGTCAGATACTCAGATTAGTTACCTGAGTTATAAGAGACATCTCAGAGGCCCTGAGATGATTATAACTGAGCACATCATGCCAATTTAGAAAGGTAAAAATATTGAGACATCTAACAACTCAGTGACATCAGAAATGTGAGAATGTGCCGACATGAGTTGTTATTTTGTGAGGGATAACGTTAAGGTAAGAATTGAATGTACACCGCACTTTATTCATTGACTCCTGTTTTTTAGGTGAAAAAGGAAAGTTTAAAATGTAGTTTTCAAATACATTTTGGGGAGATAAAAAGCACAATCTTCCACTCTTATGTAAAGCATAAAGATGAACACTTAAGTAAAGGACAAGCACCTCTAAATGATTTTTTCTGCTCAGTATTTTGTCAACAAAACATGTTTTGTTTCTCTGATTGTAAATGACAACAGAATGACTCAACAAGTGTTGAGAATGATAAGCAGTCCCTTAAAACGGCAAAGATTCTGAAATCTATAAATACCTGGATCAGGTTGTGTTTTAAGTTGTTTATTTCTTGGACTAAAAGCTCTATGGGGTGGCAGTAGCTCAGTCTGCAGGGACTTGTGTTGGGAACCAGAGGGTTGTCGGTTCAAGTCTGGAGATTGGTCTGGTAGCTGGAGAGGCGCCAATTCACTTCCTGAGCACTGTCGAGGTGCCTTTGAGCAAGACACCTCTCAAGGCGTTTTATAACACATTATCACACCCCCCCCCTCCAGGATTATTAAAGTATTTCTGATTCTGAAATAAATGGAGAATGCGAAATAATGGAATTCCAAACATGCAAGTAATAATGTCATTAATTCCAATAAACTATTGGAATCTAGTGATTAATCACAATTTTAAAAAAAAATAATCGTTTGACAGCCCTGAATAAAATGTGAACTTACTCTGAAGTTAAGTGACATTAATTACAACAGTAATAAAGTGTTTTTCATGAAGTCTTATCTGACCCTCTCCTGCTGAGTGTTTTCTTCTTTCAGATGTATTTTCTATTTAAGTTCATGAAGGATAATGAAAACAGTCTGATCTGAAAATACAGCTCTGTGTTTATGGACTCTCTGTAGTAAATATATTGAGAAACTTTTGGTCTTTCATAAACATCTTTCCTCAAGTTCTGTGGATTGGGTTTTGAACAAAAGGAGAAAATGGTGCTGTTAACAATGATTTGTCATTGTTTCATGATATGATATTTATCTGAACTCTTTTATCTGAAAGCTCAAATTGAAACAGATCTTGAGAAAATCTGGAATAGAAAATG